TTACACTATACATTGGGGTAGAGCGAACTGTATTTCTTAATTCCTGAACGCTCTTGTGAAAACAATGTTAAACATTGTGGTGATGTTTGTTATATATAAGCGTGTTATTAATAAAGATGTCTTTAGTATTAGCATTGAAATGTATCGCATGTATATCACTATCTATTGATGAGGAAGCTTTGGATTAAATTACTGAAGGGATCTGCATTATTGTGTTTTTGATGTTACGATGAAGTGTTTAATATCATTCCCATGTTCAAAACATTCTTAGGTTGTTTTTGCTGCAGTCTAATGTATTGTATAATTTGATATTGTTGTGGGCAATGTGATTCCACATACCATTAATTGAGTGGATTGACTTAAGTGTAACAGTAGTTAATATATATCCAAGATGAAAACGATAGAATGCCGGGCAGGTGTGGTATCAAGCATCAGGGAAACATTAATGGCTAGATTCAACAGTACATCGTTTACATCATTTAACATTCCAGGAAGATCCGGGATAGAATTGGTCTTTAGCATGGACGTTGCAAGTGGCGACCAACAGGATCTGGTGGTCAAGTGTGGCCACGTGTCACTGGCTTTGTTGACGCATGTTACAACGGTGCCCCGGGTGGCGATTTCTTGAAACAACTTAAGTCTGAGCTTTGATTCAAACTGAACAACAACAAAATAAATTTCTCGAAATAAATCATAATCGATATTAAACTGAAACTTAGTAAACAAGTTGGGGATTGGGGTTGGGTAGCCTAGTTGTTAAAGCGTTCGCACGTCACGCCGAAGACCCGTGTTCGATTCCCCACATGGGTACAATGTGTGAAGCCCATTTCTGGTGTCCCGAACCGCGATGTTGCTGCAATATTGCTAAATGTATAAGCAAACTCAATTACTCACATATATCCAATGATAAGCCGACTTAACAATGATGACAGAGATATAACAAGAGGTTTGTAGTTCCGCAAATAAATTGCAAACTGGACAAGAACAAAATACATTTCCCGAAAAAACTGAAATCGATAACAAACTCAAACGTAGTAAACAAATTGGGGATTGGGGTTGGGTAAACTAGTGGTTAGTGCGTTCGCACGTAACGCCGAAGACCCGGGTTCGATTCCCCACATGGGTACAATGTGTGAAGCAAACTTAGTAAACAAATTGGGGATAGAAGATTAGTTAGAAACACGTCTGTGTCATTCTCAAGTCAGTTTGAAATGTGAGCCTGGTCACTTTCAGTTGGTTGTTGTCAGAAAACCGCTCACCCCATTACTCCAGCGACAGACTCTGACAACTGCAAGACACGTTTGACGAACTTGAATAAAATGTCATACCTAGACGCCCTTAGGATCCAAGTGTCAGTCCATCACTTCTGAGAAAGAAAACTACCTCGGAATAGGGTGTGTCACTGACGTCGGACGCTATAACAAACGTCAACCGTCTCTGTTTCAAGATGTTGATTCAATCCTAGTCTGTCAGTTTAGCCAGAATATTATATTATTTTACGTCATTGTATTGAACATCGGAATCCATTCAACAAGTGTACATTACCTCGCCCAATGAACTAGAACCCGTGCAGATCAGGGTTAGATTTGGTCTTCAGTAACCCATGCTTGTCGTAAGAGGCGACTAACGGGATCGTGTCGTCGGGTTCGCTGACTTGGTTGACACATACGCAGATCGATGCTTATGCTTTTGATTACTGGATTGTCTGGTCCAGACTCGATCACTTACAGACCGCCGCCATATAGCTGGAATATTGCTGAGTGCAGCGTTAAACAACAAGCCAAAAACTAAAGACATGTTTGGACCAAGACAATAAAACCTCCCCTTCTTTGAAGCTAATTAATAACATTTCTTCAGCATATTACTCACATTAAGAACAGATGAATCTTTAAACACAACAGACGATATTCAAAATTAAATGTATCATTTTTACTTTCCCTAAAATCAGAGAATGTGTAATCGTGTCACTGGACGCTCTGTTGTGTTTACAGACATCATTCTGCAAGTTGAGTGAGTGGGCGGTAGGGGTAGCCTAGTGGTGAAAGCATTCGTTCCTCATGCCGAGTTCCCGGGATCGAATACTCACATGCGTACAATGTGTGAAGTCCATTTCTAAAAAGAATGTCCCCCGCCGTGATGTTGCTGGAATATTGTTCAAACCGGCGTCACTCACTCTTCCGGTAAGTCAGGACATACTTACTACTTCTCGCGAACCCCAGTGGCCGTATGCATATGTCGGGCGTAAATTCTAGTCCGGGGGTAAGTAAAATGTGCGCCAGGGCGTAACGTTAAGCCGGTATGCGTATCTGAGACGTAGCTAAAGTTACGCCAGGCGTAGCGCTCTATATTTACGCCAGCTACCCAGCAGGCGTAAGCCAGACGAAGCCCTGTAATGGCGGCAGTCGTATACCGACATCGCAGACGACAGTTCTACAGAAACCGTATATTCAGAGAAAGGTCAGGCCCTTCAGAAATATACAACGATTTGGATTTGAACGGAAGATTTAGATTCAGGAGAATTGACTTTTTCAAGATAGTGGATACAATCAGAGGTGATATCGATTCTGGCTCCTACCGTAATTCCACCCTTACCCCGGAAACGCAGGTACTTGTAGCCTTACGGTGGTGTGCTACGGGATCATTTCAAAATGTAGCTGGGGATACTGTCAATGCTCATCAATTTGGGGCTGAGAAGATCCTTATTATCTCCGTACATCTCTAAAAGACACATTATTTCTCCATCGGTAAAGTTGGGTTTTCTCGGCTTTCTTTGGCTTTCCATGATTACGGCTGAAATGGATGTGCGGCGAAGTTGCTTCGCACCTTTTCCCGGAGGTTTAATACGTTTGAAAATTTTAAAATAGCACACTGCGCCTCGACTTCAATCCGTTAAGTCGGGCGTAGTAACTCCCCCAGGCTTAGACGACGTTGTGCATGACGTGTAAGAGCAGGGCGCTGCTAAGCGCGACGTAGTCTGTTACGCCTGACGTTAACTACGCCCGACATGGGTGAGGTGAGGGGAGGTGAGGTGAATTTGGGTTTAACGTCGTGCTTGAGAATATTTCGCATATATGACGACGTGCATGCGTCTGTATGTGTATGTGTGGCTGCTTGTACTAGCCCAGACTGAAGCTGGTTTTATAGTGCTAGCCCACTGACATACCATGCCGCAGTGAAGCATGAATACCCCACTCAGACACATTATACTGACTTCGAGCCAACCAGTCCTTGTTGTAACCATTAATGCCGAGCGCCAGGCAGGGACCAAAAAGTACCATATTTTAACGTCTTTTGGTATGACGCGACCGGGGATCGAACCCGCGACCTTCCGCTCTCCGGGCGGACGCTCTAACCACTACACCACGGAGGCATAAGGTCACTGGTGTCGTTTCAGAGGACAATCGATATGAGCTCAGGTCACGATTCAGTTGAAACTAAGCAACCTCCAGTTCGGTCAGTCCTTGGATGGGTGACCGTGTTTGGCAGCTTGACTCCTGAGAGTTTCCAGGACGTCAGTCCTGTCCCACAACGAAGCACATGTGATAATGTGGTCTCACCTTAGGCAAGTCAGTTTGTTCAAAATTGCCTCTCTTCACCCAGCAGAAAATGGGTACCCGGTTGTGACTATAACTTTCTAGCGCCTAACAGGCAGCTTGGGTTACCCGGGGTATTGATCAGATTCTGATTAAGCGCCACGGGCAATCACTTGGTGTTTGGACTGACTGACTGAATATGGTTTTACGCCGCTTTTAGTAATATTCCAGCAATATCACGGCGGGGGACTTGGTGTTTGGAGACTGTGCGCTATAGAAGATGACTTATTATATAAGTAATATACCTTATGTAATTTTAATGCCTTTTTGTGTCGACCTCTGTGTGCTGGTGTCGTTTTCTCTAAAATAGATGGGTTTAGCTGAGATAAATCCGGAACATTGTTTCATTCAGTCGTGCGTTGTGCTGGACACACAAGAGTAGCTTCCCTTTGATAATCGGCAAATCTCCCATCTGTAGTCATTGACTTGACTCTGTGGTAGTCAGGCAACTGTCTAAAATCAAGTTTTAGGTAATATGTTTTTAATCGCTCATGATCAGTTCTGATGTAAAATATAAATGTGCACATTCAAGGAAAAATCATAATATTATGTTTTCCTTTAAATTACCTTTGTTAGAGATGTGTTTCTCCTCATATCCCACCCGTGGATTAAACCCGAAATTTCTCCCAAATAAAATGCTGTGTTCATTGTTAGTATAATATATGATGTTTTAGAGTAGCTGTCCATGATCCTTGAAACTGAGTGGAGCTAAGTGATTGCAAAGAGGGGGCAAACTCGTTTACAAAATTTACAGTTTTAAATAATTTAGAAATAATTTGGGAAACATGAATTTACCACTGAACGTTGGCAAAGCAAACTTTGGGCTAATTGCTACTAATAATTGTGGTAATATTTTTAACCGATTATATGCTAGTTTGTGAAGCTATTGTTCACGATCACGCTTGGTATACGAAACAACCTTGATTAAATGTCGCACAAGTCCGTTAAATCTCTCACCACGCTCGTGTGGTCTGTGGGGTGGCTCGTCACGCCGAAGGCCCGGGTTCGATTCCCCACATGGATGCAATGTGTGAAGCCCACCTCTGGTGTCTCCGGCCGTGATATTGCTGGAATAATGCTAGGAGTGGCGTACAATTAAACTCACTCACTTACTCACTCACCACGCTGGTGGTCTATTGTCCATAATCGGTGAGAGGGTATAACGGGCTCATTTAAAACGAGTCTTTTTTTAATTCTTCCTTGAAAATTGTTGTCTCATTTCACACGATGATTGTTTCATACGATAAAAATAAACAATACTGACAGAGATATAACATGCGATTTGTAGTTCCGCAAATAAATCATTATAATGTGCAGGAAGTATGAAGATTTCGATTTTAAATGACGCAGACGTGTGTAGTGATATATTTCCGCCTAGCTGTTTCTAGTGTGTTTCTAGTCCAACCAGTCACTCATTTTCACCACGTATGGCAAAACAGGTTGCTGTCGTTCTCGCGTCCATTGCTTTGTTATTTGAACATGCAGGTATGTGAATTTGTTTCAAATGTAGCTTGAGATATTGAGCGAATGACTTTAGTTTTACGCCGCCTTTAGCACTATTCCAGCAATATCACAGCGGGGGACCCGAGAAATGGGATCCACACATTGTGGGGACTCGAACCCGGGTCTTCGGCGTGACGAGCGAACGCCTTAACCACTTGGCTACCCCACTGCCCCCTTGAGATATTGACATTGCGAGCACGTACATGTACCGGACAAAACTATATACAAGCTATTTTCATAACCTGAGGCTTTATATAGTTAAGGGGGCACGTATTTCGTGGATGTTGTTTTTCGGAAACACTATTCGACGATAATTAAGTAACCACACTCGCACGTTTCCAAATCCATCGGTTATACTATAAGATCGAATGAAACCGTAAAAGAGCGTCAAGAAAGGGGGAAATAAGAAAAATGTTCCACGATCATGAAGATCTATTATGATAATTGGTTCGTGCGTGTGAACTTTACAGCGCTGACATCGTGCTGCTATGGTATGTGTGACGAGTTTAAGTTAGTGTGAAATCTAAATTTCACTTCAGACTTGATGTTTATGCTGTTGATCAGTGGATTGTCTGGTCCAGACTCGATTATTTACAGACCGCCGCCATATAGCTGGAATATTGCTGAGTGCAGCGTTAAACAACAAGCCAAAAACTAAAGACATGTTTTGGCTAAGACAATAAAACTTCCCCTTCTTTGAAGTAAATTGATCCATTACGATAATTGGTTCGTGTCGGATCGGCATAATCGTGTAAACGCAGCTTTAAGTGCGTGTGAACTTTACAGCGCTGACATCGTGTTGCTATGGTGTGTGTGACGAGTTTAAGTCAGAGTGAAATCTAATTTTCACTTCAGACTCACCCCACACCTCAAGTCCCATGCAGAGTACCTAAATACATTAGTGGCGGTACTCATAAAGACACTAACATACACAATCCTCTGTCATTCTGTTCTTTGAAGATACCGTCCACATACCGTCCAATCTCCGGCAGACATTTCCATTCGTGTTCTTTACGTAGATATGGACACGTCGTGGGATGTTCGAGCGCCCTTACTACGGCTGTCTGTAGCTGCGGGGGAATCAGCCTCACTTATCTGCCGCAGTCCACCCCCGGGAAATATCAGCTGGTTCAGAGAGTATGCTAACTCGTTCCCTACTGAGATTAAGAACACCAAGCGAACAACGACAGACTCAAAAGGTACACACAGTCTAACTGAACCTAATTTGGTAATTGGTTTAATTTGTGTAACGTGAACAGATGCATTGTTGTTTTTTGATTTTGTTTTTTAATGCCGCACTCAACAATATTCAAGCTGTACTGTGGCAGTCTGTAAATAATCGAGTCTGGGCCAGAAAATCCCGTGATCAACGACATGTGTCAACCAAGCCAGCAAGCCTGACCAAACCGATCCCGTTAGTCGCCTCTCACGACAAGCATGGGTTGCTGAAGAATTTGGAGATGTCGGTCAATGATGTTTTATGATTTCTTCCTTTTTACAAGAGTAGCAGAGACGCGGCAATTGCGTCTAAGACAGAATTAATTAATGCGTGGAGCCATTTTAAGTTCTAAGAAAAGTCAACATCCCGTCCTGCAGACAATGGCACCGCCATCCGGGTCTCACCTAGGAAGCACAACCTGAGCCTTTCTCTCCCCCCACCCCACCCCCCTCTCACATGAATTGTTCTGTTTGCATTGTCATTTTGAATAACTTTCATACAGCGCTACTTTGTTTGCAGGTACACTTCACTTCTCCTATGTACAGAGAAACGACACGGGGGGATTCAAGTGTGGTGTCAGCGAAGTGTCATTGGTGACATTTGGAAGTAAAGTCAATATGACCGTCCTTACATCAACAGGTAAATATTGAAAAGGCGATAAAGCCTTTTGTCAGTAGAAATCAGTAATCAGTAGAAATCCAGACTGAATCATCAAAATTGAAGCAAAAGAGCAAAAAAGAGCTTTAGATATGTCTCATCAATATCAAACCAATTTTTCAATATTTAGCCATTTTAAGTTGGTCAAAAAGTCCACATACCAGCCGACGTTTCAAGACATGTCCTGATGTTTCAGATAAATCGATGGACGCGAAGCCAAAGGTGATGTTTCACAGTGGCGCCATCAAGGGTGAACTCGGAGAGGACATAAAACTGGAATGTATCTTCAGCGGCAGGTCCGTTGTCATATTTTGTCACACAACTATTCTATGTCCATTTTGTCACATGTGCCTACATGTTTTTTTTCTGGTGTTGGTTGTAAAACCGATCACTGCTTACTATTTCTTCCATTTGGTCAGGCTGGCTGACTTGGTTGACACATGTCATCGGTTCCCAATTACGCAGATCGATGCTCATGCTGTTGATCAATGGATTGTCTGGTCCAGACTCGATTATTTACAAACCGCCGCCATATAGCTGGAATATTGCTGAGTGTGACGTAAAATAAACGCACTCACTCACTCACTCCATTTGGAAACAAGTTACTAAGTTTTATCAAATCTGATATGGTTCGACAGAAACTGGTTGGAGATAATATCATTTGTGAACTAAAACTAAATTATTGGTCAAGGTCATGGTGTAAAGCGAATGGTCACTTTGTATGAACCAAACCTTCGCTAATTGTGAGGGGCGGTGGGACAGCCTAGTGGTCAAAACGTTCGCTCGTCACGCCGAAGGCCCGGATTCGATTCCCTACATGGGTACAATGTGTGAAGTCCATTTCTGGTGTCCCCGAACGTGATATTGATGGAATATTGCTAGAACTCAACTCAACAAATTTTAATGCAGTCTACCTGAACTGATTTTAGGGCTGCTTTCAGTTTATTCCCATAGTCCAACAAACACGGCCATGATCACTGGTTACTATTGTATAGACAAAGAACTTAATTTCTCACCCCCTGTATTTTTGCAATGGTGGGTTTTGAACACGTACAGAAAGCGTCTCGTGGTGACCACGATGAACAAAAACATGAGTTTTTCTGACCCGTATAATAGTTGAACTCATAAAAAACGATGAAATGATTGGAGTCCATGTTGATTTTATGATGATAATTGCTCATTTTAAAAACAAAACCCATAGATTTTCATATAAAACCATGTCTGTACAAGTATGACCCTGGGATGTTAATGCTGAATTTATTGGTAAATGTGAACATTCAAAATGTCATTTTGCGTATTTTACACGATTCAAGGTCAATACCGAGTGTAACCTCCATGTGACTGTATCACAGTCAGCACTCTCCTCCTCATACCCCCTGTCAGCCTCCTGATCCTCTGAAGGGGCAGTCTACGCCATTCCTCGTGTAAAGCAGCTTCCAATTGGGCCAGGTTCTGTAGGAGCACCCTTTGCTGCACACGACGACCAACCACGTCCCAGATATGCTCCAATGAGTTAAGATCGGGGCTGATTCAATCGTGAGATATGTCGGGGAGTGCTTAACCATGTTCTTTGTGTATACGTACTGGATGAAGCCTTGGCATGGATGCTTGCGTCACTTTATCCACATTTTTTTTGCAGGCCTCTACCAAATATTTCCTGGAGACATTCTAACGTCGTCCTCGAGTCAGCTGGCCGGGTTCTGGTCTCTCACAGCTCTGTGGTCATCACCAACGTGACCGAGGCTGACCGCGGAATATATACATGCACCGGGGAGAATGCTTCAGGGACTGCGGCTGCAACTGTTACTGTAGACGTACCACAGACGGACAGAAGTAAGTCTATTTTCGTGTTGTCATTTAAACCTTCCCGGGAAAGTTCCGGGTTAGAATTGATTCCCAGCAAGATGAAACTCAACTGATCGGGGAATCCCGTTGTTCCATTGCTTCTTTGCGATCGAATTCCGATGGCGTAGATCGTTGAAGACAATATGAATCACCGGTTTGTCTGGTTGATGCAGTCTACGGATGTTTAATATACGTACTGGTGTTGCTAAACGAGTTACAATTTTATTGCAGACTACACCCGTTTTTGTCAACAACTCTTCAATTAAATATTAAACAAAACACTAAGTAATTAGTTAAGACACATTGCGAAACATGCTGCTTTTTTAGGCGTTATTACACATTTAGTGTTGTGTTTACAATGTTGTTTGTTGTCAACAATAGTGTTTATGTAAACTGCGTTGTACAATGCTATGGCGATACTGAAATCGTTCTATTATATGTATACCTGTTTCACACATGTCATCGTATCCCAACTGCGTAGGTCGATGCTCATGATCTCAGTCACTTGGTTGTCTGGTCCAGACTTGATTATTTAAAGACTTAACATGAGATTTTAATGAGTAGGGCGTTGTGCCAAAGACAAGCAAGCAACCAACGAACTCTCACATTGGTCTATATTTCTCAGCCGATGTCTCCAACACGGGCGGTGCCGTCGCGATAGCCGTGGGGGCCATCGTCTTGGGACTTGGTGCTTTTCTCCTGGGTATTTTGCTTTGGTGTGTATATCTTTGTTATTATAAATCCTGGGTCGTGGCAAACTGACCCGTGAAGATCCGGGTTAGGATTGATCTTCAGTAGCCCATGTCGTATAGTGCGGCGTAAAACTAAACTCACTCACTCGTGGCTAATTTTATACAATAATTCTGTATAAATGGCACTAAAATGCCACTCTTCTTTATTGCCAACTTACATCATGTTCAATGTGAATTCAAAATCCAACTTTGTAATAGATTACCAAACATTCAATGGGTTTAGTTATGTTAGGCAACAAACCACCTGTTGGCTAAGGCTTGCTTACTCCTTCTGCAAACACCCGGTGTTATCAGGGGCCCTTTCACGCAGTCACCCTATTTGTTCCTATTACGACCAATGGAACTTGTTTCGAAGAATAATCGAGATTTGTTATGTTTCAGGGGTTGACACTGTATATTTTGAGACATATTTTGACATCTATTTTGTCTCCCTATGCTTTTTTGGTTTAGATGATGAGTGATGTGTATAAACGGGAATTGTGCTTGCTTCATGACAAACCTACCCGTGAAGAGGTGAGGTGAAATTGGGTTTAACGTCGTGCTTGAGAATATTTCGCTCATATGACGACGTGCATGCGTGTGTATGTGCGGCTGCTTGTACTAGCCCAGACTGAAGCTGGTTTTATAGTGCTAGCCCACTGACATACCATGCCGCAGTGAAGCATGAATACCCCACTCAGACACATTATACTGACTCCGAGCCGACCAGTCCTTGTTGTACCCATTAATGCCGAGCGCCAGGCAGCGACCAAGAAGTACCATATTTTAACGTCTTTTGGTATGACGCGACCGGGGATCGAACCCGCGACCTTCCGCTCTCCGGGCGGACGCTCTAACCTCTACACCACGGAGGCAGTCTCTACCCGTGAAGATCAGGGTTAGAATTGATCTTCAGTAACGCATGCTTGTATATTGATTCAACAAGTTCATATCTACATTCTAGGTATACAGTGTATTGTTTATTCTTATATTTTGTACCCTAGAAGATCGGGTTTAGAATTGTAACCCATGCTTGTCGTAAAGAGGCGACTAACGGGATCGGGTGGTCATGTTCGCTATGTTGGTTGACACATGTCACCGTATCCCAACTGCATAGTTCGGGGCTCATGATGTCGATCACTGGATCATTTACAGACCGCCGCCACATAGCTGGATTATTTTCGAGTTCGGCTTAAAACTAAACGCACTCACTCGCTCACTCATGACAACCCTATCTGTGAGCAGACATTTTGCCGCTTTAAACAATATTTGTAGGTGACATGGGGTGAACTGGTAATGATCTTCAGCCATGACACTCATTATTGGAGTGTTTTTCGCGACTCATTTGTAACCATCCTGACATTCAGGAGAAGAGGAGAAGAGCGAAATTACACTGTTTTTTTCACTTGGTTTCTTTCCTTTCAGGCGCAAGATGAAAACTGAAAGGAAACAAAAAAATCGACTTTCATCAGCTGAACAACAGGAAATTGAAGATTTTGTTGTTAAAAATGACCTAGTAGATCAGAATATCCTTAAAATTTAAACAATCAGACAATATTGTTAAAGATAAGACAAACGGAATATGTGTTGTAAACATATCCTAAATCATATGTATATCTTAGGAGGCTTCGAGTTAGTAAGGTTTTATCGCTTTTAGCAATATTCCATTATGTCCTGTACATTTTAGTCCGCCATTTCACATTATGTGTTTTAAGTGAGTGAGTGAGTTTAGTTTTACGCCGCACTCAGCAATGTTCCAGCTATATGGCGGCGGTCTGTAAATAATCGAGTCTGGACCAGACAATCCAGTGATCAACAGCATGAGCATCGATCTGCGCAATTGGGAACCAATGTCATGTGTCAACCAAGTCAGCGAGCCTGACCACCCGATCCCGTTAGTCGCCTCCTACGACAAGCATAGTCGCCTTTTATGGCAAGCATGGGTTGCTGAAGACCTATTCTACCCCGGATCGGAAGACATTGTGAATGTTCAAATATAATCGTTACATTTTAATGTACTTCCCTTACAGTCACGTCAAAAAGATATGCAATACTTTCACTTTCATCACATAAAAGTTTTAGTTATGATCATTTGACGGGAAATAATTTATAAATTTAGATCAAACATGTTCAGAATTAAATTGTGACGTGTTACATATGTTTGTCCTGATACACTCTCAAACAAACCTTTGTATATTAATTCAACAAGTTCATAGAATGTGTCATTCTAGGTGTCCAGTGTATTGTTTATTCTTGTATTTGTCTACAATATTGCGCAAGGGAATGTTCATTGTACAGTTATTTATCATACATTTTTACTAAATATGAAGAGGAATTGTGAAATCGCCTTCTTACGTGAAATATTTCATATTGAATGTATTTGGACATATACGCCATATCGTGTTTAATATTTGGCTGTCATTCCATGAAACTGGAAATTACAGCTGATTACGAGAGACAAACATCAAACAATTACATATATTCAAGATAATAAGTGAGTGAGTTTATTTAAGCCGTTTTAGCAATATTTCACCAGTATCACGGCGGGAAAAACCAGATAAGGAAACATGTGACGTTGTTAATTATTACTAATCAGAACTGACTAAAGCGTTTTAATTCGGACAACTTGCAAACCAAATCACACCTGTAATCATTCACGGACATGTGACTTTCAACGGTGATCAGGTAACTAACACCTGTCAAAGTTCATGTAGCCTGTTTCACGGGGTAAAACATAATATTATTCATCTGTGATCAGGTAGCCCGCACACGTCAAAGTTCATGAAACGTGTCTTACTTAGAAGGTAAAATATCTTCCACAGTGATAAGATAGCTCACACCCGTTAAAGTTCATGAAACGTGTCTTACATACAGGTTAAAGTATATTCATCAGTTTTGAGGTACCTCACTCCCGTCAAAGTTCATGTTGTGTGTCTTTCTTCCAGGGTGAATTATATTCAACAGTGATCGGGTACCTCACTTCCGGCAAAGTTCATGTAGCGTGTCTCACGTACAGGCTAAAGCATATTCAACAGTGAGGAGGTACCTCACTCCCGTCAAAGTTCATGTAGCGTGTGTCACTTGCAGTGTAAAGCATATTCAACAGTGATCGGGTACTTCGCTCCCGTCAGAGTTCATGTAGCGTGTATCACTTAAAGGGTAAAATATATTCAACAGTGATCGGGTACCTCACACCCGTCAATGTTCATGTAGCGTGCCTCACTTACAGGGTAAAAGATATTCAACAGTGATCGGGTACCTCACTCCCGTCAATGTTCATGTAGCGTGTCTCACTTACAGGGTAAAAGATATTCAACAGTGATCGGGTACCTCACTCCCGTCAATGTTCATGTAGCGTCGCCCTCACTTACAGGGGGTGTAAAGATATTCAACAGTGATCGGGTACCTCACTCCCGTCAATGTTCATGTAGCGTGTCTCACTTACAGGGTAAAAGATATTCAACAGTGATCGGGTACCTCACTCCCGTCAAAGTTCAGGTAGCGTGTGTCACTTACAGGGTGAATTATATTCAACAGTGATCGGGTACCTCACTTCCGTCAGAGTTCATATAGCGTGTGTCACTTACAGGGTGAATTATATTCAACAGTAATCGGGTACCTCACTCCCGTCAGAGTTCAGGTAACGTGTCTCACTTACAGGGTTAGGCATATTCAACAGTGATCGGGTACCTCACTCCCGTCAATGTTCATGTAGCGTGTCTCACTTACAGGGTATAATATGTATTTAACAGTGATCGGGTACCTCACTCCCGTCAATGTTCATGTAGCGTGTCTCACTTACAGGGTAAAAGATATTCAACAGTGATCGGGTACCTCACGCCCGTCAAATGCATATTGCGTGTCTCACTTACAGGGTGAATTATATTCAACAGTGATCGGGTACCTCACTCCCGTTAAAGTTCATGTAGCGTGATTCACTTACGGGGTGAATTATATTCAACAGTGTTCGGGTACCTCACTCCCGTCAATGTTCAGGTAGCGTGTCTCACTTACAGGGTTAGGCATATTCAACAGTGATCGGGTACCTCACTCCCGTCAATGTTCATGTAGCGTGTTTCACTTACAGGGTGAATTATATTCAACAGTGATCGGGTACTTCACTCCCGCCAAAGTTCATGTAGCGTGTCTTCCTTCCAGGGTAAAGTATATTCAACAGTGATGAGGTACCTCACTCCCGTCAATGTTCATGTAGCGTGTCTCACAGGGTAAAACATATTCAACAGTGATCGGGTACCCCGCTCCCGTCAATGTTCATGTAGCGTGTCTCACTTACAGGGTAAAGCATATTCAACAGTGATCGGGTACCTCACTCCCGTCAAAGTTCAGGTAGCGTGTTTTACTTACAGGGTAAAAGATATTCAACAGTGATCGGGTACCTCACTCCCGTCAATGTTCATGTAGCGTGTCTCATTTACAGGGTAAAACATATTCAACAGTGATCAGGTACCTCATACCCGTCAAAGTTATGTGACGTGTCTAATTACAGGGTAAAGGATATTCAACAGTGATTCAAATTCATGTAAGGTACAGATTTACGTTTATTAAAAGTACTCAGGTAACCAAATGATCAATGATCTATTTAAAACGTGAGTGATAAAACGCTTGATATGTCTTTCCTATTTGAATACAAGCGGGTCAGACATTACCCGCTAAGTAATGTTGATATTATAGCGTATGAAATTAGATGAAATGGGGTTTTCTGAAGCCAGTTTAAGTTTAGGTCAAAGTTTGTCTCAAAATTGATCCATTGGTACTGACTTGAGGGAGTTCACTATCGTTGCAAATGCCTTGTATGAGATGGGGCGGTGGGTTACCTAATGGTTCACTCGCCAGACCGGGTTCAATCCCCAACATGGGTGCAATGTGTGAAGCCCATGTGTGAAGGCCATTTCCGGTGTCCCCCCGCCGTGACATATTGCTAAAAGCGGCGTAAACTATACTCACTCACTTGTATGAGGTAAATAGGTTCTGGAAAATACAATGTTATACCCGTGAATCTCGGTCACAGCGAGACAGGCTGAAGGCAGACTCGACTCAGTTGTTAATGGAGGTTGTCTCTGAATAGATTCGTCCTGGGCTATCCTTCATCTCAGCGTGTGGGATTTTTCTTATCACCCAACATGTCGTCAGTACCATAAGCTGACGCCATTTTCCGGTTGTGACGTCATCATATTTGCCCACGTGACCTTCCGTTTTGATGATGGATTGTGACAATTCATACATTGATTAGTGTCAATTTGAATTTCCCGAATATAGTGGCTTCGAAAGGAAAACACATTTCTTATTTAGGAGTCACGCGAATGACTCCTGCAGGCTGTTTCACATACTAAATCTACGTAGCAATAACACCGAGTCACCTATGCGTATTGTTTATCATGTCATCTGACGATGCCCTTATCACACCTATTCCAAGTGTGTTAGCTACTGATAGGCTGTAGAAATGACCTAGAGTTATCACCCTTGAGAGATTGCACTACACATCCTGGGGCTAGGTAAACACGTGGTGGTAGTCAGCTAGAAGAAAACAACATTTGATAGCCCAGGAATTGTTCAAGCTGTGATTGAATTGAAAGACGTGTCGAGAACTTAACGTTGCTTGGCGAGGAAGGTTTGTCTTGTACGAGACTCAGGACAGGCGTCTCCTGTACCGGAATTGTGGCTCCCGTCTAATCTCTTTCCTCGAATGAGGTGCAGAAGTGGATGAATTTGAAGTGATTTTTTAGATACAGGAAACTAGTTTTATGAGTCCATTCTTGCGGACATAGCTATTTATTTCCATTTAAATTGTCAAAAGAATTTGTTTGGATTTACGATTTTATCCTTGACAAATCGGTGATACTTAACTCCAGGAAATTGAAAGAGCCTAATGCGTATTATCGGGCTTAACCTTGCGTTTATATAGACAGCGTGGTGATCGTATGGATTTGTCTGGCAATCTGTTTACTTGGAGATAGAGAAATGGAAACTGCTGACACAAGTAAGGGTGACAACCTGAATGTTTGCATAGCGACGGATGACGGAAATTATGAGGGCTCAGTGCAGGATGGTCGATCTCAATCACGTCACTTGCTAAAACGATCCGAGAGCTTACGGACGAGAAGACTCGGTAGGATTGCTGTACCTGTGATCACTGTTCAGGGAGCAGACGACATCGGTGCTGTACCGAAGTGCGTGAGTAAATTTACCAAAACACATTCTCTTGACGAGGGCATGGAGGAGAGCTTTAAAACCGGTCTTGAGTTCAACATTGTAGTTTCACCCCAAAAACTCGTCTCCTTGTCGAAAACCACTTTTGGGAACAAGAAGACCGATATGTTGACTAATGTTGAAATCAACGGAGTAGGGATTTCCCATCGTGACAGAGTTGATGGAACCGAGGGTCAAACGAATAATGAGTCATCTGCAGAAAGTGTTCCTAATGGAAGAAACGTTAAGATTGATCCTGCTGATAAAACTAGAGAGAGGAAGACTTCAGTTCAAAGAGCAAGGAAGACATCTGCCAATGCGATCCCAGGCAGACGTTTGTCGCCAGTTCCAAAGCATTTGCCGGATGCCGCAGAGAGGAAGCAGTCCTTAACAAATCTGATGGACTCGGGGAAGAAACGTCGTGATTCGGTTGCCGCTTTGCCGTCAGCGAAGTCCGTGATCCCGTCGTCCACAAAGCATCGTCGACTGAGTCTCGCTCCTACTCCATCAATACCACGGCGAAGAAGCAGCGTCAAAGATACTCTTTCGTCCTATGTCGGTCCGTCCGGACCTGATGGTCATAAGAAACGCGTGCGGGAACTGTTAACAAACAATGGCTTACCGTTCGGACTTGATCGAGACGAACTGGAAAATATTCAAATCGTGAAAGATAAGATAGACGTGCCCATCCCCATCTTCAGCGTCACCAAAGACGACACTAAAATTTGCATCACCGACCTCAAGACCATTGAAGACGCCATCAGAAGGCTCCGACCGGATGTGACGGTGGTTAAACCTCCAGCAAATGAAGATGGGAAGGGGAAGAATGGTCATCATACTGTACCGCCCATGCAAGGTAAGAAACTACAGACGAAGCAGTGATTTCAGAGAATGAACTGTAGAAGTATAAGATTGTAAGCGGGCCTGTATCATTAAAATTACTTGACTTCCTCAAATTGTCCAACCAAGTCATGAAAAAAGCACGAATAATTGTACCCATATGAGGACTCGAACCAGAAACTTCGGGGGGAAATATGCGATTGTTGTGAGCTACCCTGCCGTAGTGCGTTAATTGTTTGTTTTTTTTGGTTTTGTTTTGTTTTTGTCTTTTTGGTGTGTGTGTGTGTGTGTGTGTGTGCCTGCGTGTGTGCGTGTGTGCGTGTGCGCGTGTGAGTGCGTGTGTGTGTGTGTGCGTGTGTGTGTGTGTGTGTGTGTGTGTGTGTGTGTGTGTGTGTGTGTGTGTGTGTGTGTGTGTGTTTGTCTGAAACAATGGTTTATGTAAGCAAATGCCTAAACTTACCCTCGTCAAATAGGACTGACTGACTGAGTTCAGTTTTACGCCGCTTTTGGCAATATTCCAGCAATATCACGGCGGGGGACACCAGAAATGGGCTTAACACATTGTGCCCATGTGGGGAATCGAACCCGGGCCTTCGGCGTGACGAGCCAACGCTTTAACCACTAGGCTACCCCACCGCCCCTCGTCAACTAGGAGGCATGGGTTCGATTCCCATCGTTGCTACAAAGTGTGAAGACTATATGGTGTTCCCAACACTGTTATTGCTGAAATGAAGTTAAATGCAGCGTCATTACTGTTTTCGGTTGTCTCCAGGACCTTTGACTAATGCCCTAACCCCGATCACGTCATCTTCATAATATGTAAGCAAATGCTAAGATTTTGTGCTGAACCAATCGCAGCTATTAATAGTAGCATTTGTTTAATATCGGTTTTTAATGTTTATATCTGGTTTTCATGTGGTTGACCGATACAGAAATGGATGCTTGCAAATCTTCTCGAATATCCGACTAAACATATTCGATCGACTGCTTAAAAGCAAAGACACAGCAGTGGAAATTATATATGCATGTATGTATGAAAATCAGTGGCCATTCGAAATTACCAGGATTTATCCATAAAAAAAAAATAAATAAATAAATAAATAAAAATAAATAACAGCGCCTTGAGCATGCACTAGTGTGTGGATATGTGCGCTATATAAATATCCTATGATAATAATAATAATCTATGAACAGGGAAATGATAATCGAGGCCTACGTGCCGACATACTACAGCTCCATTGACAATGGTCATGAGATTGTTACCGATTGTTGTTTCTGGACTTTGTTATAGTGATCATCCCTGCCCCAGTGTGATAACCTTGCCCCCTCAAGTAGACAGCGGAGACGAGATAGTGCGCGTTAATAACTGTATCACGCAAAGATTTCATTCATGTGTATTGTTTACAGCTTGTGTTATATTTCTCATGTACCTTTAGCTCACAGCAAAGGATTTTTTGTCGGTATCGACGTGTCCTCGCATTCTAGGAGTTTAGGGTTAAGATTGTCAGATGAGTGGCTGGGGCGTGAATGGAGTGGTCATCTAAGGCCAAGATAGATTTTGAAAGCCAAATTGCTCGAATCGTTTTGTAAATTAAAATTTATCCTTTTATGGCACATTTCACGCATATCGATCATGACCATTATACTTCCTATTGGGTCATCACGCCGAAGACCCGGGTTCGCTTTACCACATGAGCACAATATGTGAAGCCCATTTCTGGTGTCCCACGCCGTGATATTGCTGGAGTATTGCTAAAGTTTGCTTAAAACCATACTCACCCACTTCCCCTGGTAAAATCAGGGAAGCGATAAAAAAATGGGTGAGTGAAAAACTTACATGGATTTCTGTACGTAGAACAGAATATTTGTTTATTAGATTTGATATTTTATTTCATTTATATTTTGTAAGGTTATGGTTGGCGTATTCATATTCGTGTCTCCTTGTTCATGAGTGTCATTTGTGCAACCTCTCACTTGCTGTTATCAGATGGTTGATTTTCAGTTAAAAGGTTACTGGAATTATTTCCTAAAAATGCAGCTATGGAAGGATTATTTTACATGGTCCTATTTTTGAAATAGGATATGATTTGAACATATAAAAATGCTATAATTATGTTCTTTAGTTCATAAAACAAAATTCATTGAACGTACTTTTGCTCCTCATTTTAGTATATCATGGTCAGATGCGTGGACATTCGGGTTAGTAGCCCATGCTTGTTGTAAGAGGCGACTAACGGGATCGGGTGATCAGGCTGGCTGAATGGGTTTACACATGTCATCGTATCCCAATTCCGTAGATCGATGCTCATGCTGTTGATCACTGGATTATCTGGTCCAGACTCGACTATTTACAGACCGCCTCCATATAGCTGGAATATTGCTGAGTGCGGCGTAAAACTAAACTCACACACTCACTCATATCATGGTCAGACTTGAACATTAAGGCGAAAAATACTTAACAGAGACAATGGCTAAACTAGGTGGCAAGATCTCAACTTACTGACACATATGGTTTTCTAGGGAGATATCGAAACTGAAGGCCACTGGTTAACCAAGCAAATATGACATCAATTAACGACCGGAACGATTAATAAATATATATTACCTTTTAATCTATTAATATATATTTTATTTAAACGCAACTGATGACTTCAATTACAGACACAAGAGCTACATTAACAGAGACATTTGATAAAATATACCGACAAATGATACATGAAGATCAAAGGCGCCTGTATCTGTATCGGGTCGCGACTTTTGACCTATAGGCCACGGGTGAAAAGCATATATCAGATAGATGTTCAGATCCAGCGAGATACAGTACGACACAGAAAGCTGGCTCCAATGAATGACGTCATTAGTCATGCTCCGTACCTGTAAGGACCCACCTCGTCTGCCACCTTGACCCTACAGAATATATAAATATATATACACATGATCATTAATCAAACACCCAAACACTACGTGTTGCATATGCTTTAATACCACATTCCGCGCATTAAAATTGAAAATGTAACATATTTTACTCTGATTGAAACAAAAAGAAAAATTGATTTGAAATTTGGTACCCATTTACTTGCAATCTGAGAGGAATACACAAAAACGTGAATAAACATTCCGGAGAGTATGATCACCCTGACTACGCCACCAATCTGACTGTCATACATAGTTGTGGTAATAAGTGTTGTGATTGTATAAATCACCACTGGCGATTACATCAGTATTCACCACCAGGCCCGGTCTCTTCCTCATATGGGCAATCAAGCGAATTATCAGATTCGGAATCGTCTCTCTTTAATTTCTTTGCCTGAGTTCATTCCTGCATACCTTGAGCACGAGGATCTCGAACAAGAACCTCGATGGGGTTCTCATCGTGTCTCCTTGCGGGGCAGGGTACTGTTTCGATGATGTTGTTCTGAAACTGAGCAATGACAGCTCGAGAACGGTGAGGTTTAACGTTGTTATTGATAAGTATTGGGCGACTGGCATGGGATGGTTATCAGAATGTGGCACGACGGCGGTATCCAATACTTCATGTTGATGACTTTGACCAATGAGAGTCCCATGTACTGCATTGAGGTCCAACTTGCAGTCACATCAACCCCATCCCTCACTGGGTCACCACCAAATGGTTCTGCTGGATCATTTCTGGGTGATATGCCTTAGTGCGACTTTCGTCAGAGCAATAAACCCGATGCCATGTCCTTAGGTTGCAGTAGGGGCGGTGTGGTAGCCTAATGGTTAAAGCGTTCGCTCGTCACGCTGAAGACCCGGGTACAATGTGTGAAGCTCATTTCCGGTGTCCCCAGCCGTGATGTTGCTAAAAACGGCGTAAAACCATACTCACACACTCAAGTTGCAGTTTGTTCGCAGTCTGCAACAGGACAGACGTTGTATTCATCAATTAACAGGTGACGTCTCACGACGTTCCCTCAGACCAACAAACCAGAACCTATTTCTTATAATACTGGTTGAGAGTTGCACTCCCACTCTTTGTAGGTGCAGTCCGTCAGCATGGGTACTGGGATTGCGTCTTTCCAGACACGTTAGGACTCGGTCATCATGGGCTCTGTCTTGAAGGCCTTCGGCAAACCTTTACTTCACTGATGCAAGAATGCTACCTAACATGTCGACAAATAACCGTATGGTTAATGTTGAAGCTTTCACCGATGTTGCCACAACACATCACTGCGTCACGCATGCCCTTCAATCGCCATTGTGTATTTTCTGGAGGCCTACGTCTTGCCATGTCAAGAAAGGTTAATTTATATTACTGTCGTCTTCTATATCAGTTAAAAAACTGCAATGCAGAGAGAGACCACTGTCTTTGGCGCTTTTGAGTACGTGAACAAGCAACCCATAGCTTTTGAGAAATCGTAAGCATGTGCTTACACTTTATACCTGCATTCCACAATGCTAGGGTATGTTCACCTGTTTGGACCAAAGTTTGCTAAATTGCCCTTGGATTAAGGTAGTGCTTAATTAATGTACATGGATATGAATCCTACTAGTGTAGAATAATATGGCACGTCCAGATTGCCTCAACTTTTGGCCGGAACTTTCCATTGTCACACCTGTCACAACGCCTGCATTTGAGGAGAGACTCACTCTCTTCCGCAGTGGTACTGTAAGTTAATGTAGGCTATTAAAATTACTAGAATACGTCTTGCTTATTAAACGTGTTGAATCAACACACTTAAAATTCAAAACAATTATCACAACTCGATTTGACCTGATGTTAAATGTGTGTCAGTTTGGTAGAACTCCAGTCTAGATGTGAGGAAGTTCGTTTCGGTGGCCGTTCCTGTGCGTGTTTTTAATGAGGGGATTACCAGCAAGGCGTCATGGGCGTTGTACGATTTCACGGAAATAACCGACAACCAACTGGGGGGATAGGCATTCCTCGTCTTTGGAATCACGTGGTGTGAAGGGTAGCATTTTATTGCTGTCTTCTAATGTGGCCCCTAAATGTTTATGACTTTGATTCGGATTCGGTGAAATCACAAACGGTTTTCA